TTGTGTACTTTAAAAATAGGTTTGGATAAATACATGCGTAATGTTGGTGGGTGTGAGTTAGACCTCGGATAGCTTGTGCTAACGGGCGGGTTGCCGTGTTCACTTCCCTTGAGTCAATGTGACCTGACCTGACTAGAGTTGGTGCAATTGGCTTAAGCCGGTAGGACTTGGACCTCGCCTCGTCATGGGCCTGTAGGCCTTCTCTTCTGCGTGTTTCCATCGTTTCTTATGTTCTTATGTTCTACAGCAGGTAGGTTCTCGGCTACTGCGGACAGGAAAACCTGCCTTAATACAGCAGGTGAGGTTCTGGGCTACTGTTTTACAGGAAGACCCTGCTTAATACAGTACAGGTTAGGTTCTGGGCTAACTGCTGTACAGGAGGACCTGCATATACACAGGTTAGGTTCTGGGCTTACAGCAACACAGGAGGACCTGCTTATATCAGCAGGTTAGGTTTTCTGGCTTACTGCTGTAACAGGAAGGCCCAGCTTATTCAGCAGGTTAGGTTCTGGCTACCTGCTAGTACAGGAGGACCTGCTTATACAGCAGGTTAGGTCTGGGCTACTGCTGTACAGGAGAACCTAGCTTATATACAGCAGCTTTAGGTCTGGGCGACTGCGTACAGAACCTGCATATACAGCAGGTTTAGGTTCCTGGTCTACTGCTGTAGCAGGACCTGCTTATACCGCCAGGTTAGGTTCGGGCTACTGTTTGTAAGGATACCCTGCTTATACAGCAGGTGAGGTGCTGGGCTACTGACTGCTGTACAGGACCTGCTTATACAGCAGGTTAGTTCTGGGCCACGCTGTACAGGAGGACCTGCTTATACAGCAGGTTGAGTTCTGGCTACTGCTGCACAGGAACCCTGCTTATTACAGCAAGTTAGGTTCTGGGCTACTGCTGTACAGAGGACTGCTTATACAGGCAGGTGAGGTTCTGGGCTACTGCTGTACAGGACCTGCTTATACAGCAGGTTAGGTTCTGGCTACTGCGTATACAGGAGGACCTGCTTATTACAACAGGTGAGGTTCTGGGCTACCTGCTGTACAGGACCTGCTTATACCGCAGGTGAGGTTCTGGGTTACTGCTGTACAGAGACCTGCTTATACAGCAGTGAGGTCTGGGCTACTGCTTCCCAGGAGGACCTGTTTATAACAGCAGGTTAGGTTCTGGGCAACTGCTGTACAGGAGGACCTGCTTATACAGCAGGTTAGGTTCTGCACTACTGCTCTACAGGACCTGCTTATACAGCAGGTGTGGTTTCCTGGGCTACTTGCTGTACAGGAGGACCTGTTTTTATACAGCAGTTAGGTGCTGGGCTACTGCTGTGCAGAGACCTGCTTATGCAGCAGTTAGGTTCTGAGCCACATGCTGTACAGGACCTGCTTAATACAGCAGGTAAGGTTCTGGCTACTGCTGACACAGGAGGACCTGCTTATACAGCAGGTTAGGTTCTGGGCTACTGCTGACAGGAGGACCTGCTATACAGCAGGTTTAGGGACCTGCATTACTGCTGTAGCTGGACCTCCTTATACAGCCAGTGAGGTTCCTGGCTACTGCTGTACAGAAGGACCTGCTTATACCGCAGTGAGGTTCTGGGCCACTGCTGTACGGAGGACCTGCTTATAACAGCAGGTTAGGTTCTGGGCTAATGCGGTAGCAGAAGGCCTGCTTATACAGCAGGTAGGTCTGGGCTCTGCTGTACAGGAGGACCTGCTTAGACACAGCAAGTTAGGTTCTGGCTAACTGCCTGTACAGGACCTGCTTATTACACAGTTAGGTTCTGGGCTACTGCTGTACAGGACCTGCTATACAGCAGCTTAGGTGCTGGCTACTGCGGTACAGGAGGACCTGCTTATACAGCAGGTGAGGTTCTTCTGGGCTACGCTGTAGTCAGACCTGCTTATACAGCCAGGTAGGTATCTAATCGGGCTACACTGCTGTAAACAGTACATGCTATACTACAAGCAGGTATAAGAGTTCATGGGGCTACTGAGCTGATACCAGGACCTATCGCTTATACAGCAGTGAGGTTCTGGGCTACTGCTGTAGCCGGAGTACCTTCTTATACAGCAGGTGGGGAGTTCTGGGTACTGCTGTACAGACATGCTTTATACAGCAGGTTAGGTCTGGGTTACTGCTGTACAGGACCTGCTTATACCGCAGGTGAGTTCTGGGCACTGCTGTACAACAGACCTGCCTATACAGCAGGTTATTTCTGGGCTACTGCTGGTACAGGACCCTGCTTATACAGCAGGTTAGGTTCTGGGCCACTGCTGACAGACCTGCTTATTCAGCAGGTTAGGTTCTGGGCCTACTGCTGTACAGGAGGACCTGCTTATACAGCATGTGATGTTCGGGCTACTGGGCTGTATCCCGGACCTTCTTAACAGCAGGTTAGGTATCTGGGCTACCTGCTGTACAAGGCGACCTGCTTATAACAGCAGGTTAGGTTCTGGGCTTACTGCTGTACAGAGGCCTCTTTAACAGCAGGTGAGGTCTCAAGGCTACTGCTGTACAGGACCTCTTATACAGCAGGTTTAGGTTTTCTGGGCTACTTGCTGTACAGGACCTGCTTATACAGCAGGTGAGGTTCTGGGCTACTCTGTACGGAGGAGACCTGCTTATACATCAGGTGAGGAGTTCTTGGGCTGCTGGCTGTGCAGGAGGACCTGCTTTATAGAAGGGAAGTAGGGGGGGGGGAACACAACACACAACAGCAGGTTAGTTCTGGGCTACGCTGTACAGACCTGCTTATAACAGCCGGTGAAGGTTCTTGAAGCTATACTGCCTGTACAGGAGGACCTGCTTATACAGCAGGCTAGGTTCTGGCTAACTGCTGTACAGGACCTCGTATACAGCCAGGCTAGGTTCTGGGCTAATACTGCTGTAACAGGAGGACCTGCTTATAACAGCAGGTGAGGTTTCTGGCTACCGTTTGTACAGGAGGGACCTGCTTAACAGCAGGTGAGGTTCTGGGCTACTGCTGTACAGAGACCTGCTTATACAGCAGTGAGGTTTGGGCTGCCGCTGTAAAGCAAAAATCACTGTAAAAAGAAACATCGTTGTTTTTTCACTTTTTAAATGCACATAAAAGTCTGATAACATGTTTACACTGTCAATATTAACTAGCAAATAAAAGTCCACCTAAAAACTGCACTAACGTAAATACATTTACCCTTAATATTTTCATCCTCTGCTTATTAGTAAGTGAATATATGTACTGTGAAAGGTATGAATACAAGAAAAGAAACAGTATAACCAAAAACTGCTGCATTACTAAACACTAAAAGTGCGTAAAACTGCTGCATTACTAAACACTAAAGTGCTGTAAAAAACAGCTGCAAATACTGAAAACACTAAAAGCAAAGTGCTTGTAAAAAAACGCTGCAATTAAACTGAAACACTAAAAGGCACAAAGTGCGCTGCGGAAAAAAACAGCTGCTTACTGAAACACTAAAGCAAAAGTGCTGGAAAACTCTGCATTACTGAAACACGTAAAGCAAAGTGCTGTAAAAACTGCTGCCTTACTGAAACACTGTAAAGCAAAGTGCTGTAAAAACTGCCGCAATAGTGAAACCACTAAAGCAAAGTGGCTGTAAACAGAGGCCTATCCTGTATTTGTGTGTAGCTAGTAAGCAAGCTGTACATTAGTAACAGAAGCTGTCAAAAATGTGAGGCTAGTAGTGACCTTCTGACAACATCATGAATGTATCAAATAAATACTTATTAACTGAAGAACTGATGAATGGAAACTTTTGCATTTCCCTGGTAGAGAGTCTCCATATCTAGGCCTTAAAATATAAACAAGTGGTAAATCAAAGAGACCCGCTTGTTCGTGTATCGTGTATGTTCTAATTGCAGTTTTCTAGTAATGTTTAATTCAGAATTAATGTTTGTGCTGCGTGTCCTGTATGCAAGAAAACATAGTAGTCCTTGAGGATACTTTCTATGTGGATAAATTTAATAACATTTATACTGGGAAAGGTTGTGTGTTATCCCACAACTTGATTGAGTGATCATATTAGCAGCAGAGCAAAGATTTCTCTTGAGTAACAATGGTTTTTAGGTGATTAACTGCTATGGATCCCCATGTACACATCTAAGTTGAGGTAAGGTAGATATAAATAAAGTGCAGAATTAGTAACAATGTTTGAGAATACATTGCATAAAGCAGAGAGTATGCCCACTGGTATCATAGAACTATCTTAGAATATGGTGTCTGCGTGCCTGTGCTGTGCTCTGTTCTGCTCCGTTCTAGCCCCCGGACCCCCCCCCAAGATCTACATTTGAGATAAAAATACAGTGGACCCCCGGTTAACGATATTTTTTCAATCCAGAAGTATGTTCAGGTTCCAGATACTGACAGAATTTGTTCCACATAAAGAATATTTTGTGAGTAGACATTAGTCCCCAAATCAGAACCCCCAAACATACACGTACAAACGCACTTACATAAATACACTTACATAATTGGTCGCATTCGGAGGTGATCGTTATGAGGCGGGGTCCACTGTAGTTGTAATCGTCCTACAAAAGAAATTGGTCTTGAAGTGGCTTGTAAGTTCTTAGAAAGATCACTGCGATAGATAAAGAAGAGTAGAGGCCCAACAACACTGTTGTAGAGGCCCCTTTATTGGCTGGCCATTTTTGGAGGACAGTCGACTGGAAAAATGGGGTCCGCCCAACGTGTGTGTCCACCTACGTGTTACTTTACAATATCACAACTCATTTGGATGGGGTGGCTGCTAATCACCGAGTTTAATAGGTGCCTAAATGTTAGGCAATTATTGTGGATTTCATCTCTGGGAATGGTAGCATACCTGAGCTTTGAAAGGAGCTGAGGTAGGATAACAGTAAGGTAGGATAAGACAGTAAAAAAGTTTATGCATAAAACATGGCTATCAAGTACATAGATACTAGTTTGAGGGGGTGGGGGGGGGGGGGGGGGGGGGGGGGGGGGGGGGGGGGGGGGGGGGGGGGGGGGGGGGGGGGGTTACTGTGAAGAGAGCTCTAGTTGGTCCTTCATGCTGAGCAATGTTTCTAATCATCTTAGTGAGCAGTGGATCCCGGTACTTGAGTGCTCTCTTCAGTAACAACTTCAAACCAGCTCCCTCACACACCAGCTGAGCGTTGCGCTTATTAGCCGCCAGGTTGACCGCCAGAGCCATCAGTTCTAAGGGAACTTGAGGCCCTGCGGAGTTCAATACTAATTTCATCACCTAAAACAAAAAAAGGAAAATAACTATAATCACCTCTGACAAGCAGACCCCCCCCTCCCAAGGATGTGTAAGTGAAGCAAAACTCTTAGGTGATACGTTATTTTCATTTATTCAATGTGGAGCTTTTCCTGAAGAATAATTTGTGCAGCTCTTAAATTTATATCAAATATTTAAATGTGTCTCCATGTTGTGCCTATAACACCTGTGTGCTTAACATTTGTGTATCCTGAAGACCACTGTAAAAAAATATTTGTATGTTATTACACAAAACCTAAATGAAAATGTGCTTCCTTACTAAACTAGAGCTCTAAATAAACATTTTTAAAATGTTAAGAGTAATCAGTAAAGCTACAATAAATATGATCACAATAAGTGTACAAAGACATTACTGACCACCATGAAAGATACAATCAGTATAGGAGAATATAAACTTAACTCATCATGGGGACCCAACCAGCACAGGAGAACATACACTTGACTCACTATGGGGATACAATCAGTAGAGAACAAACTTGACTCACCATGGGGGATACAATCAGCACAGAACATAAACTTGACTCACCATGGGGATACAATCAGTGTAAGTAAACATAGACTTGCACTTGTCATCAACACTGAGGTGGTAGAGTACTGCTAACACTGCCTGCTGGTGACGCTCCTCACCTGAAACATATTCAATAACATCAGTGACTGTACAAGTAAAAACAAAAATAATGAACTGCTGACACAGAACCAGATAACACACAAGGTTCACTGTCTGAACATTAAAACAAGTAAGACACATATGCAACTTCATGACTTTTTATTGGCAAAATGTTTCATCTGAGCTACAGGCTTCATCAATTGAATACGGCAATGAATCACACTCCTGAAGACATCAGCAATGGTGGTAAACGAAGTAGATGAAATGAAGAGGTAGCTGATGTCACCAGTCTATTACCCTAGGTGCAAGATGATCAGTCACTTAGCTAAGTGACTGATCACCTTGCACCTAGAGTGATAGACTGATGACATCAAACTCCCTCCCCACTTATCTACTCGTCCACCACCAATGCTGTCATCCACAAGTGAATTGGATCTCTGCAATTCACTGAAGAAGCTGCAGGGCAGTAAACATTATAAATCTAAAACCATGGGTAGCTTTTTGGATAACTTGCGCCATATTTTGAGAGGATATAGATTGTGAAGGTTTTGCCAAGTATGGACCTTTTAGGCTTGTTTTGCAAGTGTTTCCCATTCTTATGTCATATGTTACGCTGTTGGCTAAAACTTTATATTACGCCTCCATACATACATTACCCATCCATCACCATTATACACCAAATATACAATACCCATCCATCACCAATGTCAACCTCCGATACATACAATACCCACTTCCATCCACTATTATGCCCTCCTTACATACAAGTTTGCGCCTCAGTAATAATAATAATTTCAAGGGCATGTCTCACTAATACGGCAGGTTAGTCGAAACTAATATCAAAGCAAAATCACGAGCCGTTTTATCCTTTACCCGTGCATAATAAAAGCCTTAAAACATATTTACACTATCATTTATTAACCCTTAAACTGTCCAAATGTAAATCTACGTTTACACACACAGCGCTGCGACCTTGATTTTCCCCATTTGAAAGCATGTAAAAAAAAAACGTAGATCTACGTTTGGACAGTTTAGGGGTTAAGTGACTGAACCTTTTATAAGAGGTAATTACTGAAGGAAGGCTGAATGGCATAGTGGAGCTTCATCATCTGAGACTTCAACTCACTCGATTCGGCTCAAAGTCAGCTGTATCACCAAAAATAGTAAATGTGAATATAACTAACAAGCGCCATATTAGGAAAGCACCCTAACACGAGCGCCACATTAGCGAGGTATGCCTGTAACAAAAACCATCATCATCATGAAGGCAGTAGGGTACTTACAGATAAGAGCAACCAACTTGGGCAGGAGACCCACTTTAATAATCTTGCCTCTCATTCCGCATCGAATGACAAGTCAGCAGCAACCGCACCGTCCATTCACCAAGTCGCTGTTGTTAGTGCTCACCAGGCGACTCACTTTCTCCACGATGTTCAGATCAGCCTGAGAAGCATGCATATACAAAGATAATGCTCAGATCAGCCTGAGGACAGTGTATTGCAAAATAATGCTCAAACAGCCTGGTGACAATGCATTTGCAAAAAATAATATTGAGAACGCCTAGTGACAATGCATTTTTTAAAAAAATGAGAATAATGTTGAATCATCTCCACATCAAAGATCACAACAAGTTGCTATCAATACTGCAAGGAAAAATAATAGGCTTGATTACTTTCACATTCAAAAGCAAGAGATCTGAGCTGATAATGATACTATTCATGTCTAATCATACTTTCACAGAGTGAAACTACAACTGTAATACTTAACAATTTCTTCAAAGGCAGTAAAGTGCTGATTAGAAAACAAAGAACCTTTTAGTTTCCAGTATACCTTCAATTGAACATCTGAACAACCAGGAACACTTTGAACTATATTCATAGTATAGTACCGAGAAGATGCAATATAAATTTACACCTGTTCCAAAACCTGCAAACAAAAATCCCCATGTGAAAGCAAAGACTTGGCAGCTGTACAAAGCACCTTCAATAAAGAGCAATAGGCACAACCAAAATATTAAGAGAGATCGGAGGTGGCAGGAGTTCCCTATGACATACTTTGATGAGTTTCGAGTCTTACTATACTCTTGGAGCCCAGCCACTAACCAGCTTGTCTGGTGGCTAGCCTGGTCAACTAAGCTTTTGCTGCTGAGGCCTGCTGCCCCACATATCCATCACAGCCTGATTCATCTGGTCAACTGGCCTGTTGATCTGGCACCTGACACCTTCATACATAAGGGGTACTATCAGTTAAACCTCAGGCTTAAAAATTACTCAAATCAGATAGGATCACCAGGCTGTGGTGTATAAGTTGTTGTTTTAAAAAATTGCATGCAGCCAGCACCAACAGTGATCAAGAGGTCTTGTCCTGGGACTGAGCTGTGGGGTTGATGACCCCTGGTAATGTCATAAAGTAATATAAGGTACAGCAGCAGTGATAATGATAAAGTAATGGGGGTTGGTAGCTGATGATGGTGGTGGTAGCTGAGATATGGTGGTAGCTGATGATGGTGGTGGTAGCTGATGATGGTGTGGTAGTCTGATGATGGGGTGGTAGCTGAGGGGTGTTGTGTGGACTGATATGATGGTGAGGTAGCTGATGATGAAACTGTGGTAGCCGATGATGGTGTTACTATTGATGCTCTCTGCTAAATGTTTGTGCAGGCATAGTATATGTCCGCATCATCTCTCTTCAGAGCAATAAGCATCAACAACTACAATTATTAGGAATGGAAACTTCATTACTTTTAACATAAAAAAATTTTGTTAGATATTTATTCTAGCTTCTCAAGACTATGTAACTAATTTTGCCAGAATGTTCTTACAGTCTGCTTAATATAGCTTCAGGTAACACTAATTTTCAAGAATAGTAACCACCATGTTATTCCAGACTCTAAAGTAAATACTGGTACTTTAAAATAAAAAATATTTTACTTTACTTTCAATAAAAACTAACATGATGTTTGCACCTTGTGTGAATATTGAGAAAACAAGAATCAATAAGAACACCACATTCCTCAGACAGCACTAATATCCATTATAATTGTTTCATTTAACATTTGATTTCTAAAGCATCCTAACACACACTGCATGTGATTCTTAAGCAATAATCTCTCTGTGTCTCAATTAAAATATATTCCACAAGTGTCATGTGTAATGATCAAACTGTGTTTTCTAACTTAAAACAAACACTACCATTAATTGTTCTCTAATGAACCCTACCATAATGTCCTCCTTAACCTACAACTACCATTACTCATTAGTTTCTCTAATTATACACATTACTACCATTAATAGTCTCTTAACCTAAACTACCATAATGTCTCTTAACCTAACTCCAGTAATGGTCTCTAATATACAATACCATTCATTGTCTATTAAACCTATCACTACTTCCATTTAATGTTCTCTAATATACACTACCATTTACAATGTCTCTTAACCTAAACTACCATAATGTTCTTTAATATACACTACCATTATTGTCTCTTAACCTAATCTTACCATTCATAGTTTTCTATTCCTAACACCAGCAGAGTGTATCATATAGTCTAATATCAATGTTTCTACTGTCAACACCAAATCTAACATACAGCCTAGTGTTCTAATCTTGCTATAACACCACATGTTCTATCTTGCTATTATCAACACCAGCAGTGTCTCTTTGCTATTATCAACACCAGCAGTGGTCTATCTTGCTTATTATCAACACCAGCAGTGTTCGATCTTGCTATTTATCAACACCAGCTGTGTTCTTAATCTTGTATTATCAACACCAGCAGTGGGTCTATCTTGCTATTATCAACTCCAGGCATGGTCTATCTTGCTATTATCAACACCAAGCAGTGGTCATCTTGCTATTATCAACACCAGCAGTGGTCAATCTTTGCTATTATCAACACAAACAAGCCAGTGGTCAATCCTTCCTATTATCAACACCAGCAAGTGGTCTAATCTTTGCTATTATCAACACCAGCAGTGTTCTATCTTGCTATTATCAACACCAGCTGGGTTCTATCTTGCTATTATCAACACAAGCAGATAGCAGTGTCCCCTATCTGCCCCCTTTTTAATTACAATCACCACAGTGTCTATCTTGCTATAGCACACCAGCAGTGGTCCTATCTTGCTATTAACAACACCAGCAGGGTCTATCTTCTATTATCAACACCAAGCAGTGCGGTCCTATCTTGCAATTACAAACACACCATCAGATGTCTCAAACCTTGCTATTATCAACAACCACAGCAGTATGTCTATCTTGCTATTATCAAACATCAGCAGTCTGTACTACTCTGCTATTATCAACACACCAGCTGTGTATTACTATCTATGCAACACAATTATCAACAACAAGCAGTGGTCTAAATCTTGCTATTATCAACACCACATGGGTCTAGTTGCTATTATCAACACCAGCAGGGTCTATCTTGCTATTATCAACACCAGCAGTGTCTATCTTGCTATTACAAACACCACATGTCATCTTGCATTATCAACCCAATTTCAAGACCACTGCTGGTGTTTGATAATAGCAAGATAGACCACTGCTTGTGTTGATAATAGCAAGATAGAACCAGCTGGTGTTGATAAAAGCAATGATAGAACACTGCTGGTGTTGATTATAGCAAGATAGACAACTGCTGGTGTTGATAATAGCAAGATAGACCAACGCTGGGGTGATATAGCAAGATAGACCACTGCTGGTGTTGATAATAGCAAGGATAGACCACTGCTGGTGTTGATAAAGCAAGATTAGACCACTGCTGGTGTTTGATAATAGCAAGATAGACCACTGCTGGTGTTGATAATAGCAAAGATAGAACCACTGCTTGTGATGATAAAGCAAGATAGAAAACATCAGCTGGTGTTGATTAATAGCAAGATAGAACACTGTGGTGTTGATAAAAGCAAGTTAGACCACTGCTGGTGTTGATAATAGCAAGATAGACCAATGCTGGTGTTTGATAATATCATGATAGACCACGGCTGGTGTTTGATAATAGCATGATAGACGAATGCCAGGTGTTGATAATATCAAGATAGACCACGGCTGCGTGTTGATAATATTCTCAGATAAGACCACTGCGCTGTGTGATAATAGCAAAGGATAGAACACAGCTGGTGTTGAAAATTAGCAAGATAGTAACACTGCTGGGGTGTGATAATAGCAAGATAGACCACTGCTGGTGTTGATAATCTAGCAAATAGACCACTGCTTGGGTTGGATAATACAAATAGACCACTGCTTGTTGAAAATAGCAAGATAGAACCACTGCAGGTGTTGATAATAGCAAAGATAGACCACTGCCTGGTGTTGATAATAGCAATAGACCACTGCTGGTGTTGATAATAGCAAGATAGACCACTGCTGGTGTTGATAAAAGCAAGATAGACCACTGCTGGTGTATGGATAATAGCAAGATAGACCACTGCTGGCGTTGATAATAGCAAGATAGAACACTGCTGGTGTTGACACCCAATAGCAAGATAGAACACAGCTGTGTCTATCTTGCAGTGGTCTATCTTGCCATCTTTCAAAACCAGCAGTCCTAATAGTCATCAATTTAAATTGAAAGATCTAAATACATACATCTGGTGAAAACCTTGGTAAATACTGAAATCTATAATTTTTCAGAACTAGCAACACTGTCATGAGAAAATACCTAAGTGTTGCCCACGTGTTGCAACCCACTGCAGAAGTGTCTAACCAGACATGAGGAGTGTCTAAACAACAACGAGAAGTGGTCCTAACGCCCACATCAGAAGTGGTCTTATTTCAGGTAGCTTCATCAGTAAATACGTAAAGTGAGAAATGTTAACATCTGTTCAGTTAAGCTGCTACTTAATAGGTTTCAGAAGGCAACAAATCTGACACCAGAGCTGGCATATGTAAATTTTAACTGTAAGAAAATATTGCTGATGAATTATTTATGCCTTTCTGCATTACAGCTAGAACATTGTTGATTTAAAGTTGGAAATAAGAGAGAATCTCTGAAATATCAATTTATGTGAAATATGACTGACTAGATAATAACATGTGACAAACCTTTCTCATGTGCACAATATAAATATTACCCAATGAGATATAGTTACATAGTAAGGAATTGGTAACAATGTTACCTGTTGCACTCTCCTTGATACAAACAGTAGACTTTAATGGTACCTGGCTGCAACTCCTCCTTGATCCAGTCCAATAAGGTTATATTACAGAAGCAGCGGAGTGTAGTCCAGGTCAGGTAAGGACAGGTTGCCCCAACACACCCACACACTCTAATACAAACTCATCTCTCTTCCCGCTGCTCTCACTACCTCTACACAGCTCCCTCAACAAATTCCTGAAAAATATTACCCTACTATTAATGTGTGTCATAAACTTTATAACTGCTTTCATTATTATTTTTATTATTATTATTATTAATTATTATTCCCGAACAATCTTGGGGA